AAGCAGTAAGAGGTTGAAAAGTACCCGAAGTAGGATCGCGGAACTGTGTCTGAGAAGATGGAGCAAGCTGACGTCCCTTTTTGGGACAATTGTTTTTCTAATGACCCTCTCTGATGGCCTAAAGTACACTCATCTGGCCCTAATGGTCCTTTTTTGGGTTTCGCAGTGGCAGCAGAAAACACTGAGAGTTTGCTAAGAAGAAACTGAAACCGAGCGGTAGTGTAAGTCTTGGTGAAGAAGTCCACAAGTTGCAAAGCCGAGAAGACAAAAGGAAGTGAGATAAAGCCAGGCTACAGATGTTGTCTATATATTGTATATATTTTTTATATATGGTATATTAGGAATTAGGCAGTTGGAGAGGTAGTCGTAGGCAAATATAGGCTCTCCACCACATAGAGGTCTTAAACTCTACGGCCAGTCCCAATCTGCTGCTTGGACATCCGATCCTGCACAGAACAGATAGAAGAAGAAAAGATAACATCAAAATTAGAGGCATTAAGTTGACTAATAGATAATAAACTGATAGATAACTGAGGAACATACAAGACAGATGGAATAGAGACTGCAGACATAGCAGACGGTAAGACAGACCCAACAGATATAACTGACATACCAGACCTATTAACAGCATTAATAGTAATAGGAAAGGGATGAGGAGTATAATTCTAAAGTAAAGAGAGATGAGGAGTCATATGATGAGAGACACTAGAGTCAAAAAGCTAGACAGACGAAGAGATACCAAAAGAAGAACCAAGAAAACCTGAATGAAGAGAGGAAACAACTAAAGCAGACGGGAAGGGTTGGGAGGTAGATAGCATATACTGAAGTTGACTAATCTGAGCCTTCAAGGAAGCAAAGTCAGGATCAAGAATTGGAGCAGATGCAATGGTACTGACAGAGGGACGAAAAGTACTCAGAGGAGGAGCTCGGGACTGGGTTTGAGACTACTGAGAAGACGTGGCAGGCTGACGTCCCTTCTTGGGACAGTGATACTTCCAATGGCCCTTCTGATGACAAAAAGCACACTCATCAAAAGCCAGAGACATCGTAATAACTAGAAAATTGATGGGTTAAAGTGCAATAAAACAAAGTAACCAAACCAGGGGTTCAAGTGTAATAATCAAAATATGAGGGGTCAAACTATAATAATAAGGAATTTGTTTGGTCCAAATAAGTATAAAAGAGAACTAGGTAATTTCATAACCAGGTGGGTCAACTTCGAACCACATAGAGAGAGAGAGACAAGAGTCAAAGTCGACTCTGGAACAGCTAGCACAGAGCAAAGGGCCGAAGTTGAAGCAAATCGAGAGGAACAAGGGTAGACAGCTCTTCGATCGTGTGAATCAAAGCAGGAGAGAACCAGCGATGACGACAACTCAACTTCACAAGTCCAGTGACAGATCACAAACCAGAAAGATCACGAACCAAAGGCTAGGGTTTTCGCGAATGACCCGTGAGGCAGAGAACCTGAGAAACAAACCAGATGACCAGACAAAGGACAACTCAGGACCTTCACTCGAACTAGACGAACACAAAAGAAGAAGAGCGAGTCACGACCTGCGACTCAGAGAGATAAAACCAGAGGGCTGATTTTCAAGAGACAATTTGGGATTAACTCACAAAGAGCTTCTAGGGTTTCGGTTCAAAGTAGCTCTGATACCATGTAAGTGTTCTGAGTCAAACTGTATATCTCATTGAATTGAACAAAGAATACATCACTCACTTATATAGAATGCTAAATCCTAATCCTAAACAAAATACATCACTGATATAGAATGCTATTAGATATAGAACACTAACACTAATTCCTAATCCTAAAAAGAAAAGGAAAATGAAGAACACTATTCTCACAGTGGTGTGGTTGACGGATAGTGGTGTGGTAGATGATAATTTTGTGGCATTGGTAAGATTTTAGTCCATCAACAATGCTTGGTAGTTCGAATTTTTATGGTCCGAATAACTCGAATGTCAACGACGTTGTTTTAAAACATTCAAACCATTCAAGTCATACAAATTCAAATTACCAAGCATTTTTCTTAGTCCATAAAACATTTTTCATTTTTTTAAAAGTGAAAAGTGGGGTGATGGTATTGTGACATTTGCAATAATTTAGTTTGGAAAATATTTTTTTACTGTTCAAAAGTGAATCAGTTTTTGCTTATCGTACCAAACATAAAAAAAGTGACATAAGTTTTCTTAAAAAAAAAATTCATGTAAAACAAGTGAAGATAAATAATAAAAAAATGTTTTACGTACAGAATTTCCAAGCATAAAACTTAACAAAATAATGTCAGTGATATTCTTAAAATTAAAACTATAATAATAAATATTTTAGTTTAATGTAAAATCATCACAAGAAATTATGGCCCTGTATATGGATTTTGTATTAAAAAAAAATATTTGTGTGTAATATCATTTCTTCTAAGCTTATTTTATTCAAAAATAAATTCAGAAACCATAGTATCTTCTATGAGTTGATTGTTAGGTCGACTCCCTAATTTGACTCTAATGATACATAATAGGGAAACACTATAGTGTACGTTGTCTGACAGGCACATATCACATGCATTTCATAATTAAAAAGTAATATAATTTTAATTTCTTGAGTCAGAATTAAAAATATATATATATATATATATATATATATCATAATTAAACATAACATGAGTTATAACTAAGGTCTCGTTTGGGAATATGTTATTTTAGTAACTTTTTGATTAAAATATAAGGTAAAAAAACTTGTATATTTAGAATAATTTTTTAGTTTTTTACAAAAAAAAATGTGTAAAAAGTAGAGAGAAAAAAGAATTTTTGACTTTTTGATATAAGTCATAGGTTTTTTGATTTTTTTAGGCCTCGTTTGGGAACAAGCTAATTTAATAACTTTTTGGTTATTTGGCTAAAATATGAGCTAAAAAAAACTAATATGTTTGGGATGACTTTTTGGCTTTTTACGAAAAGATGTGCAAAAAGTAGAAAGAAAAGAGAATCTTTGACTTTTTGGTATGAGTTGTTGGCTTTTTGGCTAATTTAGTAATTTTTTGGCTTTTTAGCTAAAAAAGATGGTTCCCAAACGAGGCCTTAGTAACTTTTTAGCTTTTAAATTAAAACTATTACTTTCCAAACGAGGCCTAAATAATTCATGAGTTATAACTAAAATAATATCATAATTATAAAAAAAAAATTGATCATAATTAAAGAAAAAATAACATAACTAAAAATATATATGACACATATTTTTTAAAGAGATATATATTAGAATTCCCATACTTAATATTAATATATTCAACAATGCTATAGCACATGCTCAAACTGAAATTCTCCATTTGATTTGACCTCATATTTTGCCATTGTAGAGGGATTTGAATCAAATTTGAATTTGCTGAAGTTAAAAAATAACTCAATTTCACAGGTGAAGTTTGTATATTGTGGAACTAATTTGTGTTTATGTCAATAATCTGAATCCTTCATTTTTCATGACAAGTTGAAAAGAATATGTATGCAAAAAATTAAGTTTATCAGACATAACTAATCCTATGATCAAATCACATAAATATTATAACACATGGACCGTCTATTCTTAAAAATATGTAAGCCCTGCAGATAAAAATAATCTAATAGTATGACATTTTATGTCGAATCAACTTGATTTTTTGTGTGACAATTTTCTTAGTTGTATAAGATGAACAGTTTAAATTATCAAAATAGTCTAAGTTTATTCAATAATGAGTCAATTTGACTGTGAAGTTGAGATCTGGGCTTATTTGAATCTTTTCCATCTAGTCATTATCTAACACTTAATTTAAATGTCATAATTTAATAATTAATCATTATTATATTCCATAATCTTTAAATTAAATACTAAATAATATGTAAATGAAAAAACAATGTTGAAAAGAATCCCCTACATTGTAAAAGATGGGCAATATTCAATGATTCTATCATTTTTGTATTGTGATAAGTAAGAATGCAATAATCACAAATGAGGTAAGCTTCCTGGAGAGAAGCAACTCAACGATCCAGTTTGCTGTATGAATCCATCACTGACTTCATCTCAGTAATTTTAATTGACATTTTTTTATTAAGAAATTTTTTTATATCAAAAATCAAGATGGTCCACTCCATCTTAATCATATTTGTTTAAAAAATAAGACAGATCACTTGAAATCGTATTGTCTATTAATTATTTTTCAGACAAACATAGGGACTATTTGTTACAACTTTTGAGAGGGGATTATAACTTATTTTGATTTAGGAGTTTGTGTCAAATTGTTTGATACAATTTTTGCTTATACCTCATTAGGCAGAAATAGTTTAAATAAGCTGAAAAAAAGATGATTATTTCAAAACTGAGGGTAGGGATGTTTTTAACTTTTACTTTTTGATTATCAGTTTTTAACTTTAAAAAAAACTCCACCAAACAAGTCCATGATCATATCAAATCAAGTGCCTTTCAATATATGATCAATCTAATATTTTGTATAAATAAGTTATTTTGAAAGTCTTACAAGATAAATAATTTAAATTGTTGATATGTGCTTAAAATACCAATCCGCAAGCCAACAGTAATAGGCCCCGTTTGTTTGGGGTTATAGGAAGGGAATTGGGACTACTAATACCTTGGTATTATTAATACCTTGTTTGTTTTGAGAGATAGCCTTGGGACTACTAATACATTGGTATTACTAATACCCTTGGAAGGGGGATTCATAGTGAGGAGGTAGAGATGATATTAGAAAAAAAGTGAGGGTATTAGAAATTTTTTTATTTTTTATATATTGGAATTTTTTTTAAAATATTAATGTTTAATTTTTTAATTTTTTTTATTATTTTATATAAAAAAAATTTAATAATTTCTCACTATCAATCTCATCACTATCAATCCCCTTCATGCTATCTCTCCAAACAAATTGGGTGATGCTACTTAACAAAACACGAAGTTGTACCATCATTGACATAATTAAACCACAAATTCTTTGAAATGAAGGACGTTGTATATATGGGTGGGAGTTCTTATACGTAAATAAATCCCCCCAAAAAAACAAACAAATTGTCCAGCAAATGTAAATTTCAAAAACAAAATGCTTATTATAATTTCCACAACAGAGAGTAAGAGGTTGTTTGGTTGGGTCTAAGAAGCCGAGAATGACATGCACATTGGAGGATAAATTTTGGCTAAAGAAAGAACCGAGGCAGGCAGTATCCACAGCCCTTCACCGCATATCAAACCAGATGCAACCACCGGTACCATCAACTCTGCCTTCTTCGGGTTAATTTTTTGCCACACAATCACAACCAAAGTCCCCACACACAAATCAACTGCAAAATAGCCTCCTGATAGAAATGGCACCGCCATCGCCATTGGCAGTGGCATCCATTTCCCAATCTTCGGAGGACAAATGTCCTTCACCAAGTTTATCCCAACAGCAAAGGCGAAAAACCCACCGCACAGCTGTAAACAATGATTAGGCAAAGCCGATAACCCTTCAACTGCTAGAATCGCCATGTTTCTGTAAATAATCGCGAAAGGAGCCTTGTATTCTCCGTTTGGGTCTCCAACATTGAACGCCTTGTAAAAGAGGAAGAAGCTGAGAGGAGATACAATGCAGCCAATGGCCGTGCCAATGGCCTGGTTCACAAGCATGGCTCGTGGGGATGTGAGAGTGAGGTGTCCGGTTTTCAAGTCTTGCATCAGAAGGCAAGAAACTGAAATAACCGATTTAATGAGCCCGCAACCTGCTAGCCCTGCCACCACACCGTGTTCTTTGCCCGCTAATGCCGCGAGGATAAAGAGGCCAACTTTACCGTAATTGAAAGCCATGTTTATGTCTGTTAAACCAGCTCCATATGCATTGCAAAAGGCTAAGGCCGGAGCGAAAATGTAGGCTAAGATCACAAAATACCATTTGAGCTCCGGGAATATGAAGGGGATTGCGATTGCTGAGATGACAATGAAGAGACCGTATCCGCTGGCTCCTATCCACATGGGAATACTTTCTCTGATGAAGATTTCGTTCTTTTTTAGTTCGTCACGCGACTTGTTTTGATCACCCGCAGCTGCAGCCAGAAGATAATAATTTGTTAGTCAACACGTGTATAGCAGTGTGGTATTTCTTAATATTATAATGAGTGAGAAAGGTTGATAGGTGAAGTACTTTATTAGGTGATCGAAAAATACGAGAATGTATAATAAATAATAATTAGTGAAGAAATATAACCACGTGGTACTTTGGGTACAGTGATTAGACAAGGGCCGGATTTAGAATTTCAGGTTTGGAGGATAAAAGCACATGTAACTTTTCATCAAAAAAAATTATTATAAAATTTTAAATTTTGATTTATATTAGTACCAAAAAAATAAATAATATTACTATTAATTGGACATTCTTTGTCAATATAATTGAGAATAAAAATATAATTTGACATATTTCTTATTTACATTAACTTAACAAAATATTAACTATTATGTCTTTGTCTAGTAAAGTTAATTATTTGAAAATATTGTAATTGCCACTTTTTTTTAAATATATATAAAAATATCTATGATAAACTCGACGTCAAAACCTTAATTAATATATTTTTCAATAAATATGATCAAGTATCTTGTTACAAAATCATCTTATATCTTATTACGCAGTTTAGTTTTGAAAGAAAAAATTATAATTGAAAATGTATGTTGTTGTCAGCATAATGATAGTTCGTTTCAATAAGCGATATTAAAATTTATTAACTTATTTTAAGAATGTCATGTTGAAGTAGACAATATTTTTATTTCTAGACAATAATTCTATTTCTAGAGGATGAACAAATAAGAATTAATGCAAAATAAGATGCATAAGCAAATTAAAATGTGATTTATAAAAGAAAAAAAATGATATATGAAAAGAAAACAAGAATAATAACAAATAGAAACAAATAAAATGATACAAGTAACTTTAATAATATAGAAATATAACAAATAATACATATAACAAATAAAATAGATCAATATTTAATAAAACTCAATTGAGAAATTATTTTTAAAATTTTGTAATGTAAATAGTTTAGAGGATGCGAACTACTGAAATTTTGGAGATGCAAAGTATTCCAGTTTGAAATTATTTTATCTCACACACACACACACATATATATATAAGTATGTTTTTTCCTTTCTTATGTAACACATTCTAAAGGCTTACTTTTAAAAAAAAAAAAACACATCAACATCTCTTTTCCATTTGCATATACATAAAAATCTATGCAAACTCAATTTCAATTATAATAAGTAATTTTATATGGACTTTATTTGGGAAATATTTATTTTTCATATATTTTTCATCGTATATTTAGTTGTGTCGTTATCAAATATCTTTTATATAGTTGACATTTTAATTTAATTATTATGATATTTGAAAAAAAAATCTCAATATACAAATAAATAAATAAGACAGAATATGCTTAATTATGTGCATCGCACAGATCAAATTAATTTTTTTTACATATTTTTTATTTTTTTTTCTATCTTATTGATGTCTTAATATTAATTTATATTTAATTTTTATCTAACATGAAATTATTTATTACAAAAAAAATTATATTTATTTTAAATTTTATATACATATATACAATTTATATGAATAATTTAAAAAGAATACTACAGAAAAAAAAATAATAATCTAAATAATTAATTTATGTATTTTCTTCTTAATACAATCTTTTAAATAAATTTTGTGTAGTACAATTTCTATATCTATATATTTTTATTTTCCAAATAAAAATAAAAATAAAAATGGATAATTAGAATCATTTTTAGTTTTATATTACTAATTCTCTTTCTAATTTAATTATTATTTTTAATATCAAAATGCGTATTTATTTCACCATCTTCTAATTTAATATATATCATATAAAATCATTATATGATAATTATACTTTTATAACATAATAGAACTAAAATTATCACAAAAAAAAAAACAACAAATAATTTAACTAAATTTATTATATATAAGTATTCAGGTAACATTTTTATAGAATGATAAGGTTAAGACTATTAAAATAAATACTTTAAATTTAAATTTTATCTTAAATTAAAATTAATATTATTATTTTGTAACACATATCATAATATAAAATATCATTACATTAAGTAAAGTTAACTTCACTGTGATTTTATGTCAGACATCATATTTCTAAAAATGATTTACATATATACGTGTTGCGTCTAATTTGATATTAATTGATTAAAATAATGAAACTCAATATTTTTTTTGTTAAGTTTTTAGAAGATAAATTGACAAATATCAAATCATAAATAGTGTGGAATATTATTTTAAAGAATAATGATTCATCGAAAATGATTTTGTATATTTAAGGTACTATTGATGTTTCTTAAATAATTTATAAATAAAAATTTTGAATTTATAATACTACTGATAATGCACCTTCATGAGCTCTGCCAGAAAAGATATGCAAAAATAATTTGTCTGGAATAAAAATTTTGCAGTTATTATTAAGTGTCACATAATTAATCAGAACCTCTTTGAGAACTAAAATTATTAATGTTACAAAAAATTGTGTCTCATTCCCTTTGAGGATACTATTTATGATTTGAATTTATAATTTTTTATGTATCAATGTGAATAACTCTTACGATCTTACTGATATAAACATAAATCTTACTTTTGAGTCAACCCACCTTAAATACTTTTTCGTATAATAAAATACTTAAATATTGTCATATAAAAATATTATAATAGATCATATCAAATACCACTTGAAGTATAATTAAAGACCCGATATACCACTTAGACATAACAAAAACAATAAGAAATTGGCAATAACCTTTAAATTAATAACCAAAATAATATATCATGAGTTATAATCAAGTCATAATTTATTTATTATATAATTTTTTGTTATTTTTATTTTTTATTTTTTAAAAATAATTTGATACATGTGGAATTCATAACTTTTGATAAATTTGGTTAACATAAATAAGGTGTTGATTTTATGTTGAGAATACACATTTTTTTAATTAAAAAAAAAACTTTGAAAAAATTATTTTTATAAGCTTATTTTACATAGGATCATATATAGTGACAAAAATTTCCATCAGCTATTCACAAAATTAAATATATTTCTTATTTTTTTTGTCTATCTTAGTCATATTTTATTACTAATTTATATTGAATTTCCTATTTAACAAGAAGTTGTTTATTAAAAAATATTTATATTTAAAGGTTTATATTTAATTTGAATTTCATATAACTATATATATAATCATGTACAATATATATGTAGAAACAGTATAGTAAGGATATTAAAGAAAAATCAATACTCAACATAGTTATCCAACAAAAACGTACTCATATTTAATTTTTAAAATAAATTTGATATAATTCCCATTTCTACATATTTTAATTTCCAAATGAATAAAAAAATTAAAAAATTAGAATCACTTTCATTTTTGTATTATTAATTTTTTTTCCAATTTAACTATTATTATTAATTTGAAAATGAGTGTTTATTTTACTATGTTATAATTTAATTCATATAAAATTGTTATATATATATATATATATATTTCAGTTATATAGCATGATAGAGTTAAGGTTATTAAAATACATATAAATAATTAAAATAAAATTATATATATATATATATATATTTAGATAACACTTTTATAACGATATGGCTAAAATTATCAAAATACATAATTAAAATTATTACTTAATTTTAAATGACCTTTTTTCTCTAATTTAATCACTATTTTTAATATTAAAATTAGTACTTATTTTATTATCATATATACATATTTAAAATACAATTTCATAGTTCAATTGAACGAAAATTACATTGCATATTTCGTAATATTTTTTAATTATATTATAATAAAATTAATATTATTCTTTTGTAATGCATAAATTGTAAAATATTTCTAAAATATTTCTAAAATAACATATATAAATAATTTAATTTAATTTGATAAAATATTGTTTTAGAAAAAATCAAATCGTCCATTGTATGGGTCAATTGCTAGTTAATTACTAGTATAATATACATAATTTTTAAAAAATTTGGGAGTGTGACTGTCCCTAACCAAACCACACCTTTTTAGATGCATCCTTAAATAAGATTTGAATCCAGAAATCATCGTAGTTTTAAAGTAAATACGTGTATTTTTTTTCTTTTTGAACTAAAAAATTAAGAAAAAAAAGATGGATATTTGGATTATTTTTTTGACTTTTTACGAAAAAATATGTATTAAAAAATTATATAAATAAGTGTATAGGAAAAGTTATTGAGTAGCCCGTACAATATCTCGGCAGTGTAGTCAGCTGGTGAGGAGATAGAAAATGATTGCCTCCTTTTCAGGCTTAAATTGGACGGTGTTGTTCGGCCCGTGTAGGCCACCACGAGTCTTGTTTTGCTAATCGGAACCGTTCAATATGTAGAACTCGTCAAGTACTATATGTTTGTAAAAAATCAGGTTGATCGGATATGGATAGCTATCTAATCGTATAAGTTTTTTTGTCAACAGTTAATTATAACACCATATATTTTTCATACAAAACCAATTTAATCATGTAGCTATCCATATTCGATTAACGTGAATTTTTATAACCATATAGTACTCGACGAGTTCTACACATTGAACGGTTCGGATTATCAAAACGGGACCCGTAGTGGGCCTCTACTAATCCACTGACCCAACATTACCCTCAAATTTAATAAATATATATACCTAATTTTTTTTCCCTTTGACAACCATTACATCAATTCTCAGTACCAATCATGTCTTTATATTAAAATATGTAATAAATTATTTTTTTTATATTTTTAATTTACGAATAGTAATAACTTTTTAATTTTTTTATTAATTTTTTAACTTTTTAAATTTTTGTTAGAAATGCCAAACTAAGCAATATCTAAGTCAATTGGGATTGGGCGTTGTGGGCATGCAAAGCAAGTAATCAAGATGAAGGAATTATGAAACAAGCCAAACAGAAAAACGTAATGAATACTTTTATTTTATTCTTTTGCCGATAAAATAAAATAAAATAAAAAAGAATTATAACACATTGGAACAAAGAAACAAATTTACAAAAAGATGTGGGGGATAAAAAAAAATTTACAAAATGATATGGGATCCAAGTACTTTTGTGACAGGGTGCAAATAAAAAACTATGGGAGCGCAACTGTGGTTTGCATCCCTCCGTATTTGTGAAAAAAAAAATAAAAATTCTGTAAACACCCCCCAAAAAAAGCATAAAAGCTTTAGTTTGAAATGTTGGATGGACGTTGAAGAGTTTTTTAGCTTTTACCTGGGTTGATGTTCCTTTGTTTGAATCTGACATGGACGTTTAAGAATGTGATACAAATAATCTTGACAAAACTGTAGAGCCCATCACCTAAGAGAAGAGCAATGGAGAGAAAGATCTGCATGCCAAAAAAGATGTTGATAATTTCATAAATAGAGAGAGAGAGAGAGAGAGAGAGAGAGAGAGAGAGAAAGAGAGAGAGAGACCTTGTAGCCTTGCAAGCTCTGCATGCTGCTTTCAGGTATATTGGCTGGGAACCATTGTCCTTTAAGCTTACCCATAAGTGGCCACATGATACCCCATGAAATCACAGCTCCAAGAAGAGTTGATATGTTCACAATTGGGGAACAGATCATTCCAGTTCCCACGTAAGTCATGCTAAAATCGAAGTAGAATCTACCAAACACAAAGACCAATCATCAATCGCAAATCAGCAATATCAAATTGAAAAACTAGAAAGGGAGAAAGAGAGAGACATGAATGCATAATTGCATATAAAAAAATTAAGAAAAAGTCTAGCAAGACAAAAACGAATTACAAAACCGGACAAATTCTGTGATCGATTTCTGTGTTTCTAAAAGAACTGTAGAGCTAATGATCAACACATACGTATTCCTCCATGCTTTCAACCCAAAAGTAGGGAACTGTTGAAACCCGCAAACTTCTTTTCCAGTGTAAAGCCACTTGAAAAAGGCCCACAAGAAACTCATTGAGAAGAATTTCGTGAACCCGCGCACCTGCTTTCTACAAAATTATCGTCATAAAGTTAAATTTATGATCATAAAAAAAAATATCATGACAAAATTGCAAAAATAGAGATGAAGGGTACTTACTTAGCCGTCTTCTCTCCTTGATTATGAAATCCATTAATGAGAGCCGCGGTTGCCACACCACTTGGATAAGTCAAGTTGTAATCGATTATCAAGATCTGTGTGACCAGTTGGGAACTACTATGAGTGATAATCTCTATTTAATTAAGCACTTGCACAAAATATAATGTAAATTGGCTTTATCTTTAAAACCATGCCCGTGAATATACATATGCAACTAGCAGTACTAATATATAGTCAAACCAGCCTAAACATGGCTTCATGGATGTTGAGAATTGAAAAATCTAGAAATTCCCTAGATGTTGATTCGTGATTATGTATCAATTTTAAGTAGAATATAACAATCCCAATCAAACAATCAACATAAAGAGACACAACGATTTTACGTGGCAAAAATCACAATTGGACACCTCCAACTGTGATAAAAAAACCACGGGCAACAGTCACAAAACAATCCACTAAGAAGATTTAAAGGGATTACACAGGTATACTCTCAATTACCTAGCGAATCCACGCCTAATTGAACCAACCTCTATGTGCCTCTTCCAACCCGTCTTCACCTCGGGAATTGTCTTTCTGATGAGCCACTCCACAAGGAAAGCACAGGCAACTCGTTCGCACGCCAAAGCCAACCAAATGGCAATTTAACCGAGGGACATGCATTTCGCAAGGCAACTTGTACAATTACCCGAGGGACATGGCATGCTTGCCAAGGCCGTGGCATGACATGCTGCTGAAGGCAAGATTTTGCCCCCGAGCACAAATGAAGAGGAATGCACCAGAGGAGTTCGCTGCACAGGCAGGGATCCATCCAACTCGCACAAACCAAACACAACTCACGCGCCACGACGTACACTACGCACCAGCCGCCCGAAACGAATCGCACCCCGAAGGACTAAGAAGCCAGACGAACGTGCGAGAACATTCAGAGAAGCCAAGCAAGAACTCAGCATTCTCCGCTCGAGCGGGGGAATGTCCGCTCGAGCGGACAGGCAACTTGGAATGCATTTTTGCATTTTGCTTCGGGGGCGCTGCCCCTCGACCCCGCCGTGGTGCTGCCCCGGACCCCGCCGTGGCGCTGCCCCCTGAACCCCTGCGAGCTGACCAGGCAGCTCGATCCCCGTCATAATCAGCGAAGTGGCAATCTTGAAAGCTTTATCATCACAAACTTCTCTAAAAAACACAATTCGGGTTGGATTCGCATCTAAACACTCATAGCCTTACTGAAATAAAAGTGCGAAAATAAATACAACTGAAAGGAGTTTTGTCATACGGGATTGCCAAGAAATAAAACCTAACAAGAATAAAATCTCGTTTTGATGAAAAGTAATTCTAAATTTGCTTTCAACCATGGTTATCAGAATCTCGATCCGGATCTTACAATCTTACGATCTTACGATCCATTTGAGTACAATCGATCCGGATCGTGTAAAAAACTCCTTATAGGTAGGATCTTTCGATCCTGGTAGTGGGATCTTATAGGATCGTGGAATCCCGATCCGAATCCGATCCTATCCGATCCAATTTACAAGTCTTGTTTTGTATTGTATGACATATTTTGTTGTAAATTTTATATTTGTTGTCTAAATATCAATTTATGTTGTCAAAATAAATAATAAAAATTAAGTAGTATTGAATCAAATAGACTAAGAAAAACAAACTAGGAAACAAACATTCAAATATTGCAGTAATTTAAGAAAATTAAATAGTCGAAAAAACAAACTTAGCTTTAGCGGAGTCTAAGAAGGGTAAGATGATTGCAACTTTATCCCAATTTCTGGAGAAATTATTTTTGTGACTTGAATTCGCTCCGCCAGGATTGCTAACGACAAACCTTATCATTCGACTAAACTACTCTTTTGAGTTCTTAATCTATTTTCATATCCAATTTTGTTAATATTTTTTCTTCACTTTTTATGCATTATTGTACATTGTAAAGCATTTTGTTATAGAATTCTTCTTCTTCTTCATCTTCTTTTTTTGATAAAATGCAGAACTTTTACCATCGAGTTTTCTATTGCATAATATTTTATGTACATTTTACATGGAGTACTATATTTTTCACAATATCTCCACTTCTTTTTAATAAAATATAGGTTCATTTTGTGTATACTTTATAAGAAATATTTATTTAAATTAAATTATTATGTAATTTGTCTTTTTCGGTAGGATCTTACGATCCTCGATTCGATTCTACGATCCGATCCTATAAACACCTCCAACGATTCATCGTAGGATCCCGATTTTAACAACTCTCCTTTCAACCTCACTGTTATCAACAAGTTGTATTACATTTACACTAAATAGACGTTCCAATAAACAAAAATTAAGCTCCAAAATTAGAATTATGAAACTCTGATTTATAGACATAAAAACTGACATTATAGAAGTCTGCTCTTGGCAAATATATGAAAATCTGATTAACAAATATAAAATTTATATAAAAAATCTTGTTACAATGGTGGCATTTTTATAATACTAAAAAGTTATTTTGATGGGTTTTTTAGTTTAAAATGAATGGTTGTTGATTTGTCATATCATTTTATATGTATTTTCTATCATTATTGTTGGCTACATAATTTGTACAAGCTAATCACAGTTCAACACATGGTAGGATGAGGACAATACGGAAAAACAATTCAAGTCTTCAATCATAATCACACACGTGGCAGTTAGTATTGGTTATTATGGATTTATATAGTATGGAATCAGCAGAGAGGTGCAAGATGACGTGACCTTAACGGTTACTCATATTTAAATTCAAATATCAGGAGGGAAGGCTAACTGCAGACATGGCGTAGTGGAGCTAACTGTAAGGAAACATGATCAGCAATCATGGAGGGATGATTCGACGGTTAGAAGCTCATTTCGACGGTTACCATTGAGAAGTATAAATAACAGAGAATATCCCAGAAAGGAGCCCTAGACTCAGATCAAAAAAATCAGTTTTATTTACTTTATTTTCTTTCCAGTTTTTATATTTCTTGTTATTTACATTTCTGTACTTCAAATTCCTGCACTGCACTTCATTCATAGGAGTAGTTTCAAATAGTTTGTCGCTATAAATCTCTACAAGGCTGATTCGAATCTTTGTAAGTCTTCTATTTTACTTAATGAAATGCTACAATTGTTCTTCATTTGATCCTCCTAAACAAAGCCACTAGTAAAAATCCTCTTCATTAAGGCTGAAAGCACTAAAACACAATCGTCTGATAATTGGTTGGCAATTAATATTTTGTAAGAACTGATTGATCCTTACTAGCACGCTCAAAATCACAATAATAACCTTCGAAAGCCAAAAAGCCAACATATATTTTTGGCACGCCACTAGGACTCATTGAAATGGCTAGACGTATGAGACAAGGAAAAAATGAAAGCTTGGAAGAAGGCATGGAAGGAGAGGTAGAAATGCCTAATTCAGAAGATAATGTGATAACACATCCTATGGAAGTACCTGTTTTATCAGAACCTATGGTCGAACAGACCAGCACTTCAGAACAAGTACCGCATGTTCAAAATATTGGACGAGGCCAAGGAATTGGACCATCCACTGTTCCATCTACTCAGTTAATGAATCCATGGGGCGGCCTAGTAGATGCCATGGGACAACAGCTAATGAACAAAATTGAAAGGTGGGCAATATCCTTCATGGATCGAATGAATACCCATCAACCAACAAACACAAGACATATGGAGGAAATTTCCAATGTCCCTCAGCAAAGATTGGCTAGAGATAAACAGCCTATGCAAAATAATGGACATTCTAATGGTCAAACTAGTAACCAAAACTACGAAAGACCATCACCTCAGTCTTGGTATGAACCTCTTTCGAGACCTGTAACAAATCAAAATGCCTCATTACTTAACAGTGAAGCTATGCAAATTGGTGGATCTGGCCCAACACAAGAAAATGGCATAAGGATGTTTCCAAATCCCATGTTCGAAGCCATACCTGGCACAAGGGGGGTTCACTAATCCTTTGTTTGAATTTATACCCGGGAGATTGGAAGGGTTCCCTACAATTGGAAGAGACACAATACCTGTTCCAGCACCTTTCACAAGTCATTTTGCAGGACAGGCTTAGAGGGGTTACCCATACCCTCAACAGCAACCAGCACTACAGGGACAACCAGTCCCAAATGTGCCACCTTATAGACCAAGAGGACCTCAGGCACAAGATTGTCCACCAAATCCTGTGTTTGTTCCTCCAATAGTGGTTCAACAAGCACAAAATATGATTTCTAGGGACCAAATTGCTGACGTTGTTAGAGAGATGTGTGGATCGATGGCTCGGGGGGTTCAAACTCCAGTGTACAGGAAACCATATCCAGAATTGGTAGATAGGGTACATGAATACCCAAGAAGATTTAGGATACTAGACTTTGCTATTTTTTATGAGAATGGAAACCAGTCAACGGTGGAGCATATTGCTAGGTTCGCTGTTCAATGTGGTGAATTTACCAACAATGATTACATGAAGTTGAGATTGTTCCCAAATTCTCTAACTGGGGCAGTCTTTGTAAGATATATTAACCTTACACCTGACTCTATCCAAACTTGGCAACAGATAGAGGAGGCATTTCATGCCCAATTCTTCCAAACGGAGCCAGAGGTTTCTATGGCAAACTTGGCAAGGTTGAGTCAAAGGCTTGATGAAAAAGCTGCTCAATTTATTGCCAGATTCAAAAAAGCACGAAACAAGTGTAAGATTGTCCAACCAGAGCCTGAGTTCGTGAGATTGGCTCAAAATGGTCTAGAGTTTAGGTTTCGAAAGAAGTTTGACTCAAGTGAGTTTAAAGACTTAGTGGAACTGACCTATAAGGTGTCTAGGTATGAAGTATTACTAGAAGAAGAACAAGATCGAAGTAATTCATCATACAAAACGTACTATAAAGATCCTAATTATGAGATTGATACAGTAGAGATTGTAGGAAAAGAACATGTAATCTGTGAAACATTAATTCATAAAGACACAACAATAGACCAACAGTTTAAAAAGAAAGACCTTCATAGGAAATACTATTTCGATTTAACAAAGGCAGATGACATTTTTGGTCATTTGCATGCTGCAAACTTCCTGAAGTTGCCAAAAAGAGTC